GCTTTGTGGCCTTTTGGAAGAGAGGCTAGCTCCCAAGTTTGATTCTTTTCTATGGATCTTATTTCCTCATCCATAGCGTGTCTCCACTTCTCGTTCCTTGCTGCCTCTTCGTAACCTAGAGGTTCACAGTCAGCATAAAGGCAGAAGAGTGTGAGAGCCTCTATGCGTTCTGTTTCCTCATAGATCTCTTGTAGGCTTTTTGTCCTTTGTGACTCTTCATTCAAAGGTGAACGTGGACTTTGAGGTTGCTGAGTATCTTCACCTGCATCACTACTGTCATCATTGTATTCGTGGATGACAGGAAGGAAGTCGTAGCTTTCACCACCTTCAATATTCCAGTCCCAGGTTCCTTTTTCATCAAACTCTACATCTCTACTCACAATAACTTTGTTCGTGACTGGATTGTAGAGCTTATAACCTTTTGACTGTTTGTCATAGCCAACAAAGACATGCTTCTCGCTTCGATCATCAAGTTTGGACCGCTTTTGGCTTGGTACATGGGCATATGCTATACTCCCAAATACTCGTAGGTGATTTACTGTGGGCTTTGTCCCATTCCATGCTTCTTGTGGAGTCTTGTCTTCTAGACTCTTCGTGGGACATCGATTTAGTAGGTATACTGCACAATCAACTGCTTCAGCCCATAACTCCTTTGGCATCTTCTTGCTCTTTAGCATGCTACGAACCATATTGAGAATGGTTCTATTCTTCCTTTCAGCAACTCCATTTTGTTGCGGAGAGTAAGGAGCAGTAAGGAATCGTCTAATCCCATGTTCTTCACAGAATTTGGTGAATTCACTTGATGTGAATTCTCCACCTCTATCAGACTTTAAGGCTTTGATTTTCAAGCCTTTCTCCTTCTCCACCACAGCCTTAAATGTCTTAAAGGCATCAAAGGATTGTGATTTCTCCTTCAAAAAATACACCCAAGTCTTTCGAGAGAAATCATCAATAAATAGAATGAAGTAGGTGTTCTTACCATGGGATGGCGGAGAGATAGGACCACATAAGTCTGTATGGATGAGTTCTAAAGGCTCCTTAGCTCTTGATGTTGCTTCTTTGGGAAAGCACTCCTCGAATGCTTCCCAAGTAAGCATCCTTCACATACTTGATTGGGCTGATTGATAGGAGGTATTCCTTTCACCATGCATTTGGTAGATAACATTTTCAAGTCACCAAAATTTAAATGACCATACCTCATGTGCCAAATCCACGAATCATCCTTCAAGCATGCTTTCATGCAGTTCTCATGTTGAATGTTCAACAAGAACATTCTATTACTTGTCATTGGCACAATGGTAATCAATTTTCCTTCTGGATCCTTAACTATGGCACTACGATCTTTCAAATGAATATCGTAATTTTCTCCGAAGTTGTCCCAAGCTCAAGATATTACTCTTAAGACTTGGAACATAATAAACTTCTGAGATGTATTGGTGACTTCCATCTTTAGCAAGGATTAGTATCTTACCTTTGCCTTCAACCCTTGTTCTAGAATCATCTCCAAACATCACGCACCCTTTGGTTGGTTCCATGTCTACAAACAACCTTTTTTCCCCAGTCATGTGGTTACTCGCAATGAGTCAAGATACCACGTCTTCTTCTCTCCTTCGTCCTCGTGTCTTGCCATTAAGAGAGTGAGTTGAACTTCATCTTTAACCTCCATAAGATTGGCTTTCTCTTTTACTTGACTAGAATTCCTACACTCACTTGCATAGTGACCATATTCCTGGCAATTAAAGCATTGGATTCGAGATTTACCTACTTTCTGAAACTTCATACCTCTTCCACGACCTCTTGTAGATTGAGAACCTTTGTTATTGTCATCCTTGGTGGATTGAACGTAGCCACCTCGAGTCCTTCCTCGTCCACGTCCTTGACATCCACTATTGCCTCGTCCAAGGCCTCTGCCACGTCCAAAGCCTCCATCTCTTTCTTTGAAAGAGAGTTTTGTGTAGAGAGCTTGCTCCAAAGATTCTTTGGGCCTTCTCTTCTTTAGTTTCTCTTCATGGGCTACTAAAGTACCCATGAGTTGATCAATGGTCATAGAGTCAAGATCTTTTGACTCCTCTATTGCTACCACAATATAATCAAAGCTTGGTGTCAAAGAGCGAAGAATTTTTTCTATTACTCTTGTGTCGCTCAAGCTTTCTCCATTCCTCTTCATCTCATTTGACACTTTCAAGACACGAGAACAATAATCCGAAACAAATTCGGACTCCTCCATTTGTAAAGCTTCAAATTCTCCTCTAAGAGTTTGAAGACGTACCTTTTTAACCTTCTCAATGCCTCTATTAGCATTCTCTAGAATATCCCAAGCCTCCTTTGATGTAGAAGTATTTGCCACCTTCTCGAACATGGAATCATCTAGACATTGATGGATAAGTGAAAGAGCTTGTTGATCCTTTCTCCTTGCTTTGTTGAGTTCCCCCCTTTGGGCAGGAGTCAAAGAAGCCTCATCTAGAGGTTTCTCATAACCTTTCTCAACAATCTCCCAAACCTCGTGAGAGCCTAAGATTGCCTTCATTCGAATGGACCACTTACCATAGTTTTCTTTGGTAAGTTGAGGGAATTGAAAAGAGATCATTCCATTTGCCATCTTACTTCAAAGCTGGACCAACACCAGCTCTGATACCAGTTTGTTAGCAAAAGAACCCTTTGGGTTATAAGGAAGAGATCTTTTAAGTGATAGGTTTAGGAAGTGAAAATGGAAGAGAAGGAAATTTTGGGAGAAAGGGAGCTTTACTACTTTGTAGTAAAAGGAAACAAGGTGGAGTGTGTTAAGCTTTTAGTTTAAGGTTTCTCACAACTCTACACATACTTACATTAGGGGTTAACTCCTATTTATAGGAGTGCATGGAAGGTTCTACACTCTTTCAAGATGTTTCTACTCCTTCTAAATATCTACATATTTTATTCTAATATCTAGACTTTTCCTTACTAATATCTAGATATTTCTTCTAGATATTTTCCATGAATTTTTCTACATACTCTTGATATTTATGTAGAACATTTCTAGAACTTTCTACTTCTAGATATCTTCTTATCTAGACAATTCTTCATTGGACTTGGGCTTAGGATTAAACATAAAGATTCATGGTCCAAGTTAATAATTTTGGATAACCCAATATTAATTGGACCAAATTAAGTTTATTTACTAACACAAACTTCTCCTGTTCCGCGGTATCTCAACAGTGGAACCGGATCTTCCCGAAATTGGTGTCGAAGTCCAAAGGGTAAACTTCGAACCCAATTGTCGGTTCGTATTTCTTCTCAAATTCGCCGGTGACGTGCCTCTTCACGAAGGTTGTTTTCCCGGTCCCGATGATGACGAGCTTGAAGCTTGGGTAATCATCGGTTGGCTGGTCCCGAAGGGCCATTGATCCGAAGCGATTAATCAAAATCAACGGCGAACGGACCATTGGAAGAGAAGATTTTTCTTCAAGGCTTTAATCTTTTTTGAGAGAAACGAATCTGAAAAATTTGGTGAAGGGGAGGAAAGAGAGGGGTTTTATTCAGTCAAGGTTTCGGAAGTTACCCGCGTCAGCTTAAAGCTGACGCGATCAAGGGCTGAGCCAAGTTCAATGAAGATGGATGAGGTAGCTGCCCCAGCTGGAGTTTTATATATTACTTCTTCTGTCCCATAATTATTTTCTAGTTTGGATTTTCATTTTAGTTCAAATTATACTAAAAGTGAAATCTCAAACTAGCTAATAATTTTGGGTCAGAGGGAGTACCATTGATTACCCCAAAATTTATTTAAATTCAAAAGACAAGGGGCATAATTAAAAACTACAAAGTAACTTTTATATGTCTTTGTGGAGGGTTCATTTTTGTTAGGTGTGTCAATGAGTGGAATGGATCAAACAAGTATTCGAAATTGAACTTAAAGAATTAATTTCCCAGTTTTCCAAAAAAGTCCTCTTTCACCTGCATTATGACATCAAATTAAACAATAATTTTGGGACGGAAGAAGTAATTGTTGCTGATAATGATAATATATTTCTAAAATAACAATCTTTACTCATCAAAATAATTAACAAAACAGCATACTTCTACCAACACAAAAAGTGCTCCATCGTGCTATTTCAATAGAGAAGTTTTTATGTTAATTAGAGGTGTTTTTATCTTATTTTAAGGCCGTGGTCTTTCTTATGTTAATTAGAGGAGTTTTTATGTTATTTTAAGGCCGCGATCTATCTCCAACAATCTCAGAAGATATATAGGACTTAATTTTTATTTTTTTTGAAATAAAATATAAATTCATTAATTTTCTGATAATCGTCCAGCAGTTATTGATAAAAGCAAGATACAGCCAGAAATACACAACTAACAATCAGTCATAATGTCATCGTTGTATTTTTCATAAAATAATTGTTGTAGCACATGCCAGATATGAAATCTGATCAAAGATACAACATTAATCATCGGTTGAAACTCACAAAACATAGACCTAATAATTTGATCTATTATGACTGAATTTTCTTGGTAAGCATGCTAACCCGAACCCCTTCAATGAATCCTTCACCGCCATACTTGCAAACATCACTAGTGAAACCACCACCATACTATCGAATATCCTTAAGAAATCCATCGCCGTACTAGCAGACATCCCGTTTCTATTGAAAATAAATTAAAATACAATCAAAAAGTTAATAAGATCTAAAAAAATTATTTTTCATCTTTCCATGGTAGAAAGATGGGGGAAGATTAATTTTGGGTTTCAGGGGAAGGGAGGCGGCCAAAAAGAGAGCAGGAAGATTTTGGGGAAGAGAGGCGGGTCCTTTTATATAGGACTTAATTAGTTGATGCCCTTGTTGCTATCAATCAAACAAACACTAGATACATAAATTGGCTCAATAGACGTGTATTATATCTTCCGTTCAAACCAATCTAATTATTCAATTGCTCTCTTCCTTTCGATTGATAGAAAGATTTGTATCTGTTCACTAATGGTAATGCCAAAGATCTTGTAGCTGTTGCATTCAACGAAATAATCTCTTAATTAAACTATGTCCCCTAGCACCAAAAACAGAAAGAAAGCAAAAAAGAAACCAAACACAAGGAATAGTAGACAACTATAATCTTGACAAATGCATAATATTGAAAAACCTAAACCCTGCCAAAATCTAGACACAAAATAAACTCCTACATCATTGGAGGGAACCCCTCAAAATAGTCTTCTCTACCAAAAATAAATCTCCTGGTAAAATAAAAATAAAAACAAACTACTGCTCTTCCCAATTTTAACACGAGAAAAGTACAAAATCTCTTCTTGTTGGTGTCCCACGTCCGTATTATGAGACACTTTGTATCTTCTTTCGTGCCTTTCTTAGTCGAATAATAGGTCATCACCGTCATCGGGAAGAGGTTGCTTGGAAGCTGCCTCAAGCTCTAATTCCTGCTGTTGCTGGGCCGCCATGTCGATTTGCACCTCAGGGGGCTGTTTAGCCGGCATCGCCACAAACTGCAAGCTGGGATCGCCGGCGAGTTTCCGGGCGAGATAAAGGAAGGGTTTCTCGAAGTTGTAGTTGCTCTTGGCGGAAATCTCATAGTACTGAAGGCTCTTCTTGCGGTGAAAAGTCACTTGTTTGGCCTTAATCTGTCGGGTCTTCACATCAACCTTGTTCCCGCACAGCACAATGGGGATATTCTCGCAGACCCGGGTGAGATCCCGGTGCCACGTTGGAACGTTCTTGTAAGTCAACCGGGCAGTGACGTCAAACATGATGATGGCACAATTCCCATGGATGTAGTATCCATCCCTCAGCCCGCCAAACTTCTCCTGTCCCGCGGTGTCCCAACAGTAGAACCGGATCTTCCCAAAATTGGTGTCGAAGTCCAATGGACGAACTTCGACCCCAATTGTCGGTTCGTATCTCTTCTTGAATTCGCCGGTGACGTGCCTCTTCACGAAGGTTGTTTTCCCGGTTCCGCCGTCACCAACGATGACGAGCTTGAAACTTGGGTAATCAACGGTTGGCTGATTCGGAAGCGCCATTGATTCGATATGCAATTAACAAAAATCAAGGGCGAATTGAAGATTGGAAGAGAAGAATTTCTAGGGTCTGATCTTTTAGAAAAACGACTCTTAATATTTTTTGGGGAAGGAGAAGAAAGTGATTTGGGCATAGACGAAAGAGAGGGGTTTATATAGGCGAGGTTTTGGAAGTTAACCGCGTAGGCTTTAAGCTGACGCGATCAGTTACCCTCGTTTGCTTCAAGCTGACGCGATGATCCTCACAGTCCGAGTGAAATTTTACGGTCACGTGAGCATCACGTGTCTTTCTAGGTTATTCTATAAACCCATACCGAACCCCTAGTAGTATGATGTAATCCTCCTTAGCGCAGAATAATAGTTTCTATTATGTTCTAAAGTATGGTTTTTAGTACACAAATCGCAAAGCATATAATACATAATTATTTTCTTTTTCTTTTTTGGGGTACGCATAACTATTTTACTTTATTAATAAGACAAATGAATTGCTTAAAAAACAATAACATAAATCGCGAAAGTCTAAGAACGTCACGAATTTAAACTCGAATTGATAACCACAAAACTTTCTCTAGTCCCTTGTGTTTCTCTGATCGGAGTACTGTTGCGAGAGTTAAGTACCTGCTTAGAAGATTTGGAATTGAAGTCGACTTTTGCTTTTTAAGTCTCTGCTCTATTACATATATAGCGTTGATGTTTTTAGATACATAATAATTACATTCAAATTTACAAGAGTTGAAGCATTTCGAATTCAAAATTTAATACCACTCCCACAGCCAGAATCCAATAATATATCAATGATATTAGAATAATTCAACATGGATAAAACAATATGATAGGAGTTTTTTTTTTCTTTTGTTTTTTTATGGATTAATATCTCCAGGGTACCTATTGCATTTTCAGTTTTATTAAATATGATAACAATAGACTAAGACGAGGCAACGTGCAGACTAATTTTAACATAAAAGCGCGAAGGATATTCATATGACCTATCAAATTTGTTTAATCCCTTTTGATAATTGCACTGCAAAAAAAAAAAAAATTATGGAAAAGTAGTAGAAAACCTTCTCTTTTTTTTTGTTTTTTTTTTTGTTTTCGGTGAAAGGTCTGAAGGCCCAAAATGAAGTGGGTCAATAGAATCCATTGAGTAAATTGTCTTGTTGTGCTAGTAAACTTACCATTTTGTGCTAATTTGTCGATCGATAACGGAATAAGTTCTCGGTAAATATGCTGAATCGAGATTTGAGACTAGCATAACCTCCACTAAGGGAAAATCAGTGCTTTTTTGCCGCCAAAACAGAACCCGGCGAAAGATTGAGTGATTTTCTAATAAGATGATATAACTAAACTTTTTTCATTACAAGAGATAAAGAAAAATAATAGACAGAAAAAATGGTCTTAGGAGCAAATGTTCGTGACACAATAGAAATGGCTATCGAGGATGCAAACAACATTGAATTGTTTGAAGAAGGCAATAAAGAGCCCGTTGTAAAGTTCCAATTAATTTGCTTTCACTGTAATCAGTATGTGTTACGATACAGTATACTTCGGTCTAGACTCTCCTTGTATTTGTCTGATCCCACAATCGTAGAGAATTAAATACCTGATCAACGAAAGCAGTTTGAATATACATAGTACTCTGTCTCACGATTTGGAAATCGAAGTCTTCTCTATTTATTTAATTCTCTGCTTCGTTATTAAATTTAAAGCCTACCCCTGCCATAGCCTGCGAGTCATTTTTTGTGAAGGAAAGATTTTACTCTTTCGTCCCAAATGATTGTGTACTTTGTAATATTATTTTTTAGTTCAATATGTACTAAAAGCAAAAATCTAAAGAGGACAATCCAATTGGGGACAGAAAGAGTAGTAGATATAACAAGAATTAATTCATAATTTTCACACACGAGCAACTACCAATATTAACTGAGATTTTGGTGTTACCCTCTCTCTACACATCGAGAATTTGCATTCACCCCAAACTCCCCAAAGCCTTACCTTCTTTCTCCATTCTCCATGTTATGATTGATGGAAAGAACTCTCATACAAGCTTCAATATTTAGATAGTAGTTACACTATTTTGTAAAATTTAGCAGATTCAGCCTCAACTCAGAGCTCCTTGAGTACATTTATCGGTTCAGTTTTAAGGGATGCGAACCGGGATTCCACTGTATGCATTTTTCCTAGTAGAAGTATGTACCCTGAAGTTGTAGTACTATTCAGGTTTATTGATTTAAAAATGAACTTCGATGCCACCATGTCTTCTCTCAATTCAGTTTGGGTCCTAAAATCGGAAGTTTTGCTCGAAACTACGCTTAAGCTCTCTAAAATTCCGTGACATTACTTTCATTTAGTAGATATCTTCTAAAGTTTATTTTGTCACTTTCCTATGGTTGCAAGAACATGTAAGATGAGAAGGAATGGAAGGTGGTTGTGAAAACCAAGAGCCAAACAGATTCACCCGGGGGATTCTAAAACACCAAGGAATCAGATGATGGGAAGAATGAATAGGGTAAAAGTCCAATTAACTACTCTATTTTGAATAGATCATCAACTGAAGATATACAGGACTTGATCAGAGATAGTGAAATAGAGGATGGGGATAAGATGGAGATAATGATGCATGTTGATCTACGACATGTCCCTGGTATTAATGTGTAATGTCATATCTTGGAACATAAGGGGCCAAAATGCCCTTGTAAAGCAGATGGAACTCAGTAGTGTACTGTTTGCAAAAATGATAAATGGGGCCTGTATAGTAGAAACAAAAATGAAGAAGGAGAAAGTGGATATATTTATGGGTAGTATATTACTAAAGAAGATACTGGAAGTTACTGGACTGTATAAGATGTAATTACCATGTTGTAATTTTCCTTTTTACTCTAGTCTAGGGTTTCCTGTTTACGTCTTGTAATTCTGTATAAATACTTGCATCACATCAATCAGAGATGATTCTTTTCGGCCAAATCTTTTATGGTATCCAGAGCTAGGTTTTATTCAAAACCATAGTTCTTTTCTCTTTCTTTCGGCCGCTGATATCAAAGCTTTCCAGCCCCTTTTTCCTGTTGCTTTGTTTTTCCGCTGCTACAAATCATAACCATGGGAGACAACACCCTAGTCACCTCAATCTCTACTTTGGAGACGGATTCTTCTCAAGGCCAGAACTCGAATCAAGTCGGTTCGGCTGTTGATACGAAATCACCGTACTATGTTCATCCGGCGGATCATCCTAGCCACCTTTTTGTCACCACTCCGCTTGTTGAAAACGGAGATAACTACTTCACTTGGAGAAACAACCTTCTCACTGCCCTTCAATCCAAAAACAAGGCCGGTTTTGTGGATGGCACTATAGCTCGTCCCGATGTCAATTCCGGTGACTACCAACAATGGATCCAATGCAAAGCACTGATAAAATCTTGGCTGACGAACTCCATCTGTAAGGAGCTGCAAACAGCTGCTGCTCACATTGAGACCGCAGTTGAAATATGGCGTGATTTGGAGGAGAGATTTACTCAGGGTATTGCTGCCAGGGCGTTCGAGTTGAAGTGTTCTGTTGCCTTGCTTCAGCAGGAACGGATGCAAACGCCAATTTACTATGGCAAACTCAAAGGACTTCTCAATGAACTGCAGAACCTGAGGCCTCCTTCGACGTGCGGCGGATGTACCTGCGATGCCGGCAAGCATCTGAAATCGATGCAAGAAGAAGAAAAGGTATTTGATTTTCTAATGGGATTATATGATAATTACAAGACTGTTAGATCGCAGATCCTTAGAATGGAACCCTTTCCGACGTTGGGAAAGGCATACTCGATGGTGGCGCCATATGAAAAGCAACACAATGTTGCTGATTCACGATCTCCAGCTGTTGAAGCGTCGACCTTCCTGGCTAACTTGAGTTCTGGCCGTCGCGATAATGGAGCACAGAAAGGTGGTGGAACCAGGTTTTGTACGCACTTTAAAAAGAGCAATCGTAACAGAGATGCTTGCTTTGAACTTGTTGGATATCCAGCCAATTGGAGGCAGCCGCGATCGAAATCTGTGACTTCCAAACCAGTTGCAGCCGCGTCTGATACCTCAGCTTTTGCTGCTGTTGGCGAACAGAATGTACCTGTTCAATCTCTTTCCTAGGCGCAGATTCAACAGCTACTCTCGCTCCTTGGTAGTCGACAGGTTGCTTCGTCGACCAACGCTGCTGGACAAGCTTCACCTGGGCAAGTCAATTCTGGTAAGACCGAGGCTTGGGCTGCTGATTCCGGCACCACAAACCATGCTTCATCTGAAATTCGATTGATGACTAATCTCATGCCTTTTGATAATAGCTATATCCAGATTCCAAACGGTGATCGAGTGCCCGTTCGGGCCATTGGGACAATTCAATTGGATAAAAATCTAACGCTTCATGATGTTTTAGGAATGCCGGATTTCCATTTTAATTTATTATCAGTCAGTAAACTGACACGAGATTTGAATTGTTTTTTCACATTTGGACCTGATTTTTGTCTCATACACGACTTAGCCTCGAGGAAGCTGATTGGAGTGGGTAGGATGCGCGATGGCCTCTACTATTCGGAACCAATGAGGGGTGGTGATGGGAAGCAAGTGAATCGAGCGTTGGTCATCCGGAAGAGCGATACAGCATCTTTGTGGCATAAGCACTTAGGACATTTGCCGATAAGCCGTCTTAATTTGGTGCCAAATATCTCTGTTAAATTTGATTCTTCTAGTGGTTTTCTCTATGATGCATGTTGTAGAGCAAGACACACTCGATTGCCATTTCCTTTATATCAGAATAAATTGTTGAATGTTTTTGATTTACTGCATTGTGATGTTTGGGGTCCTTATCAAATGCCATCAAAGTCCGGGGCAAAATATTTTCTTACGATTGTAGAGGATTGTAGTGGGGTAACTTGGGTGTTTCTCATGCGTCATAAAATCGGAGACTAAGCGATATTTGCTTATGTTTTTCAATTGGGTGCATACACAGTTTAAAACTAAGGTCAAAGTGTTTCGAACTGATAATGGTCTTGAATTTAGTCATGCTACCTTGTTAACTCATTTTTGGGATAATGGTATTGAAAGGCAAACCAGTTGTCCATACACTCCACAACA